CACGCACGCACGCACACACACAAGATATAAAGACGCTTGTGCCTGGAATAAATCTTTAGTGTTTTTTAGTGGTTTTATTGCAATATCTCACTGTTAAGCACCTAGACTAAGGTCAGTTCCTTAGTTAAATCCAGTTAAGGGTTTTCTTTGATCAGTAATCATCTTGAGTGTGTGTGTGTGTGTCCTTTCATTTCCCCCTCTTTTTATGATTCCATCCTTAACATCCTTAACGGTGCTGCAGTCTTTTTAATTCTGTTCCAGGCACCAAAATTGAGTTTGTTTGTTTTAAATAAAAAGTTGTATTAATATTAAAAACCACCTCACTTGCTTTGGTGTATTTTTTACAGACATAGTAGCACAATTAAAGAGCAACTACTTTGAGAAAGTTAAGCCGTTCTGAAGGATTCTGGTAGGGTTGCTTTTGCTTCCTCTCCCCCGACCAATCACATTTCATCTGTCAATGCCGGCTCTCCTAAAATAACTGCAGTATTTCTAGATGTATCCTGTTGAATATACTCTGGTTTTTTACATCTTCAAATGTGATACGGTTTCTTGGACATCTCGTAGAGAAGTTTGGTGAATTCAACATTTGAAATGACTACTGTTTTGTATTATTTCACTCTGCCTCTCCTCAACTAACAATTACAACATCAGGCTTTCACATCCTTTTTATTTATTTGATTCTCATACAAGTTAGATGTTACTCTTGTTTTTCCCCCACTACTGTCAACTTTACTATCATTACTTTATAGCCCATTATGAAATGACCAATGTAGTACACAAAGAAGTGAGCCAGAGTTCACCTTTATTGAGTTAATGATTATTTTTCCTGGAATGCTTTCACCAAAGGATCAGACCACAGCTGGTTTTCCTGCTGACATTCATGGATCTGCGTCTCTCTGCCTGCATCCTGCTGGTACTTTGTGTGACATGGAGTGCAAATGGAGGGAATGTTTTGGTGTGGTACACTGAAGGCAGCCACTGGATAAACATGAAGCTTGTTCTGGAGACATTGGTTGACAGGGGACACCAGGTGACTGTACTGGTCCCGAGCTCGTCAATGTACATGAACACCAATGAACCCGCCCGCTTTCACTATGAGCCCTTCAATGTCACTTTCTCATTGGAGGCTATGGAAGAGTTTCTAGAAGAGTTCCTCCAATTCAATGTATATGAGATTGATTATATGAGCTACTGGGAGATCTACATCAGATTAACTGACATGATGAAAACTGACCTGCAGTTTTCTATCCAGTATTTGGACGGTGTGGTGAAATCAGAAGTTGTCATGAAGAAGTTGAAAGAAGGAAATTATGACCTTCTCTTGGCTGACCCCATCTACCCTGGCAGTGACTTGGTAGCAGATATTTTGGGGATCCCACTTGTCTTCTCTTTGCGCTTCTCCTTAGCTAATAACTGGGAGAGGCATTGTGGTCAGATGCCTGCTCCACCATCCTTTGTTCCCGGTGCCATGAGCAAACTCACAGATAAGATGGACTTCTCAGAGAGAGTGTGGAACTTTCTCTTCTACGCTCTCCAAGACATCGTGATTAATCAGTTTTCTTGGAAAGTATTAGATAGATATTACTCTGATGTCAAAGGTGAGCAAATGGACATGAAGCACTAGGTTTAAAAAACAACAACAACACTGTTAAATGTAGTGTTTTCTATATCCCATCAAACCTGCCTAAGAAAATACAACCTGCATGAACTATTGGTGATATGTTGATGTCTATTATTCATGCATTGCAACAGGAATTCCCACCAGTGCCTGTGAACTGATGAGTAAGGCAGACATCTGGTTAATCCGAACCTACTGGGATTTTGAATTCCCTCGTCCTTTCCCCCCCAACTTCAAATATGTTGGTGGGATCCACTGCAGACCTGCTAAACCTTTACCAGAGGTAAGGACACTCAATTATTACCATCTAATTAATCATTACAGAATATTTGTGCCAGGAGCAGTGAAGCCATCAAAATGTTGAACAAAAATAATAAAAAAAAAAACAGCTGGTTGTTGGCTGTGGGATAATATTCGACTTGTTACAGGATCTGGAGGAATTTGTGCAGAGTTCTGGAGATGATGGCATTGTGATCTTCACTTTAGGATCCTTGATCAACAACGTCACCAAGGAGAAGGCAAACATGATAGCCTCAGGCCTCGCTCAGATCCCACAAAAGGTCAGAGGATAATCTTTGTGCCAACTGTAATCAATTTGTGCAAAGCATGGAGTAGTTTTTCATGTTTTAGATAACCAATTACCAAGTGCTCTTCTTCTGACCATCAGAAATGAATTACTATTTCTTAACATGTTGTATTGTAATTAACAATTATTATTCAAGTTGCATGTACCTTGTGGGAATCAGCTTACTTCATTTTTATATCCTTATTCTTTTAAATTTCACATTAATATTTCTGAGCAGTGTATTTTAAAAGAACCCTTTGAAAACACATTAGATCTCAGTGTGCAAAAAAATCATGTTATATGTCATGTTGAATATCTATAGTGATACTGACTGGGTAAACTGTAAAGGGAAAGACAACCTATCAAGTGCTGAATTCAAAGACACACTGAAAATGAAAATGTAAAAAATAATGATGCAGCAGGCTAGTCTATTTTGCCGAAATATTATTGCAGCAAATCAAACAGGGTATTCTGTAGTTTAAGACGACTTCACAAATAGGTACCAGGGCATCACAGGCAGTCAGCGCTATCCATTCGTTAATCCTCCAGAAACTGCCAACATACTCCTGCCACATGAGCCTGTGTATTGTTGTGCATCAAGAAGAACCCAGAGCCCACTGTATCAGTGTAGAGACTGAAAATGGGTCCAAGGATTTTATCCACATACCTAAATGCAGTAAAAGTACTGTTGCCTAGTCTGTAGGTCTATGCAT